TAAAATATATAGAGAATTAAGTCAAATTTATGAGAATACAAGTCATTCCCCAATTGATAAGTGCTCAAAGAATAAGAACAGGCAGTTCTCAGATGAAGAAATTGAAGTCATCTATAGTCATATGAAAAAATACTCTAAATCACTATTGATTAGAGAAATGCAAATCAAAACAACTCTGAGGTACCACATCATACCTATCAGATTGACCAACATGACAAAACAGGAAAATGATAAATGTTGGAGAAGATGGGGGAAAATTGCAACATTAATGCATTGTTGGTGAAGTTGTGAAATGATCCAATCATTTTAGAGAGCAATTTGGAACTATGCCCAAAGGGCTATAAATATGTGCATACCCTTTGACCCAGCAATAGCACTTCTAGGGCTATATCCCAGAGAGATCATAAAAATGGGAAAAGGACCCACGTGTACAAAAATATTTAGAGCAGCTGTTTTTTGTGGTGGCAAAGAATTGGAAATTGTGAGGTTGCTCATCAATTGGAGAATGGCTGAACAAGTTGTGGTATGTAACTGTAATGGAATACTATTGTGCTATAAGAAATGATGAACAGGCTGACTTCAGAAAAACCTGGAAAGACTTGTATGGTCTGATGCTGAGTGAAGTGAGCAGAACCAAGAGAACGTCGTACACAAGAACAGCCACATTGTGTGATGACTAATATTGCCAGACTTAACCCTTCTCAGCAATACAAGGATCTCAGACATCTCCAAAGGCCTCATGATGGAAAATGCTATCCACATCCAAAGAAAGTACTATGGCGTTTGAATGAAGATCGAAGCATGCTATTTGCTAATTTTTTTTTCTTCTGTTGTGTTTTGTTTCCTTTTTCTGGTGGTTCCTCCTATTGGTTCTAAATCTTCCTTACAACTCCACTAATGTGAAAATATGTTTAATAGGAATGTATATGTATAGCCGATATCAGATTAGGCGCCATCTTGGGGAGGGAAGTGGGGATGGAGGGGGAGAAAAATTTAAAACTCAAAAGCTTATGGAAGTGATTGTTGATAATTCAAATAAATTAATTTAAAAAAAGACTTTGTAATTGATTGTGTGACATGGGAGACACTGGCACAGGACTGCTCAGCATGGTGTGCCCACATCAGAAAAGGCGCCGTGCTCTATGAGCAAAGCAGAATTGCAGTAGCTCAAGAGAAACTCAAGATACGCAAACTTCGAGAATCCATCCCAAATGTTCACATGGACTATTTGTGCCAGACCTGTGGTAGAGCATCCCGAGCTCACATTGATCTGATCAGCCACAGTTTGTACTGAAGGACAACCACCAAGCCTACCCTCACTTGCTGTTCTCAAAGCAAACAGATTGAGTGACTCAGAGTATTTATATTTTCATTAGGTAAAACAAAACAGCTGCTTGGAAGACGGTCACCCCATAGACATCCCTCTTCGTCAAGCGTCCTAGTCCAACACAAAACATCTAGGCTCATATAGATGGATGTATGCTTGCTCAAGTCTTTCCAGAAAGTTTTAGAAATTATTTTGCATTGTAGGATCTACATTAAAGTTACAACCTGAAGACAGAATTTTAATCAAATAGAAATGGAAAGCAGTCTATTGCAGTTTCAAGAACTCCTAGGACGAGGTAGAGCTGCTGCAAATCTCAAAGATTCAAACAATTGTGCTCTTAGGAGGGCAGACTAAATTTTGTCCAGTTACACAAAAGTGTGAATCCTATCTTGTGATATCTTAAAAGCATTTTCATGTGAGCTATTTGGCTTTGATCAGTAACTAGCAACTTTCAAATGCTGATGGTAATTTAATTTTAAGTAAGACTTATGCATCACTTCATTTCATGTTTTTTGTTTTTATTTTTTGGAAGCAGTCCAGGTTAAGTGACTTGGCCAGGATGACTGCATATTGATTATCTGTGAATTTCAGACCCAGATACTTTGCTTCCAAACTCTCTTGAATCTGACTTGGAGTTGACCAAGTTAAGGAACAGATACCTAGCTCTACAGCCTCTGTCTCTCTGTGTCTCCATTTCTGTCCCTGTCTTTCTACAGCTCTCTTTTTTTTCTCTCCTCCGTCTCTTTCTCCATCTCTGTCTCTAGCTCTCTTACACTATCTCTGTCCGTCTCTCTGTTTTTATGGGTCTGTTTGTCCCTCACCCTGGCCTTCCCCCCTCTCCTTTTCTCTCCCCTTCTCTCTCTCTCTCTCCCTTTTTCTCTCCTTCTCTATCCCACTTTTGGCTCCACCACCTCTGCTTCTGTCTCTGTTTCCATGTCTCTTTGTCTCTGTCTCCGTCTGACTATCTATTTCTCTGTCTCTCTCTTTGTTTTCCAGTTTCGGTGTGTCTATCTATCCTTCTTCTCCCTCATTCTCTCCTTTCTCTCTTCTCTCTCTCCACCTTTCTGAATTCCCCCTCCACCTCCTCTCTCTATCTCTCTCATCAACCTCTGTGGGTTTAATTATCTCTACACAAATGACTCATAGATCTCCATCCAGCCTGTCTCTGCCTGTTCTTTGGTCCACATTACCAACTGCCTTCTGGACATTTCAAACCGGATGCCCCATGGATCTGTCAAACTCAACATGTCAAAGCAGAACTCATCCTCTTCCCCTACTTCCGACCCTCTCCTCCCTTCCATGAAAGGCAGGACCATCCTTCCAGTCACCCAGTTTATAACCTTGGCTTTATCCCAGACTCCTCGCTCTCCCCCCGTCTCAAATATCCAGATATTTGCCCAATCCTGCCATTTCCGCCATCACAGAATCTATCAAGTCCGACTCCTGGCCTCATCACCTGTTGCCTGCATTATTACAACAGCTTCCTGACCGGTGTTCCTCCCTTTCTCCCAACCCCCGTCCCTTCTCCTCACAGCTTCCAAAGTGATTTTCCTTGAGTACAGATCTGAACATGCCACCTCCCTCCAGTGGCTCCCTATTGCCTCTCAGACAAAGTATTGACTATTTTTATTTAGCTTTTAAAGCTCCCCCCAAGCCCCAATCCAGCCTCAGTGTGCATTACCAGGCAAGCGTATCCGTATTCTACAATCCAGCCAAACTGGCCTCCTCCTTAAATAAATGGGGCGACGAGGTGGCATATTGGATAGAGCTCAGGGCTGGAAGTCAGGAGGATGAGTTCAAATCCACCTCAGACACTCACAAGCTGTGTGACCCCAGGCAAGTCACTTCATCCTGTTTGCCTCAGTTTCCTCATCTGTAAAATGAGGTGGAGAAGGAAATGGCAAACCTCTCCAGTATCTCTGCCAAGAAAACCCTAAATGGCGTCACAGAGTCAGACACAACTGAAACGACCGAACATCTGTTTGTGTGTTGTCTTCCCATTAGACGTGAGCTCCTTGAGAGCAAAGACCATTTTTTTGCCTTTCTCTGTATCCCCAGCAAAGTGCCTGATACATAGGTCCAGCACATTAAACTTTTTAAAAAATTTTACTTCTTTTTTTCGCTAGGCAATGGGGTTAAGTGACTTGCCCAGGGTCACACAGCTAGTAAGCATCAAGTGTCTGAGGCCAGATTTGAACTCAGGTCCTCCTGACTCCAAGGCCAGAGTGCTATCCACTGCACCACCTAGCTGCCCCTGCCCAGCACATTAATTAATGCTCAGTGACTAACTCACTGACTGACCTACTGATGGTCCCAAGTGCTGGCGCCCTCCTCAAACTACTTGTATTTAACAACCTCGTATATACTTATATTTATTCTCTATATGTTTATTCTGTTTACACACCTGCATGTGAACCCCTAATAGAATGTAAACTCCTTGAGAATAAACATTTTCATTTTTTTTTTTGTTCTCATCTTCTCAATGCCTGGCACATCATAGGGATTAATAAATACTGTTGATTGATTCAAGATACCTCAGGAGACAGCTAGACAGCCCAGTGAATAGAGCTCTGGGCCTGGAATCAAGAAGACCTGAGTTCAAATCCAGCCTCAGACACTCACAAGTGATGGAATTCTGGGCAACTCATTTACCCTCTGTCTGCCTCTGTTTCCTCAGCTGTATAATGGAGATAATAATAGCATCTTAATAATAGCATCTATCTCCCAGGGTTGTTGTGAGGTACGTGTGAGAGGATTTTTATAAAGCACTTTGCAAACCTATGTAAATGTGAAATATTATTATTTTGGGACATCCAAGGGGAGGTGTCCTTAAGGGGTTGAAGGTGGGGTGCTGGAGTTCCAAAGAAAGATGAGAGACGGATGGGTGGATATGGGAGATATCTGTACAGAGACCATACTTGATTTCATGAGAAGTAATGAGATCCCTGAGAGAAAAGAGAGACAGAGGTGAGGTCAGGGCTCAGGACAGAGCCCTTGGTTACACCCACATACAGAAAGAGGGCCTAGATCATGATGGCCAGACAGATAGGACAATCACTGTGGGGGTTATAATAGCCCGATCTGCAAGAAGAACCACTGAGGCAGAGCTCTGAGCCAATGGTACTTTACTAAAGGGTCCGTGGTCCCTTCTAATGAAGTGGACCTCAGATCTTTCTCCTGATCTGACATGCCCCTTTCCTCCAGAGCCTTGTTTTTATGAAGTTTGATATCAGGTTTGATACCTGAACACTTTAGAGGGGCTACACAAAATACAGAATCCCATTGGTTGATACAGCTTGCTTCAAGGGCCAAAAATGATGTATCGACCAAAAAGTGGTCTTGGGTTGGACAAACATCAGGCATCTCCACTAACTAAGTGGTCCTAGGATGGTCACTTGCTCAGGTTGGATGAGAATGGTCCAGAAGTTCAAAAATAAGTCAGGAGACTTTCCACAAAACTGAGCCAACTTGCCATGCCAGGCTTGGTCACCACAACAAGGAAAACCAAGGGGAGAGGTCCTCTAGACAGCTTCCTGATTAAGCAAGTGAACTTACAACCATAGCTGTGGGGCCTAATATGCAGAACTTATAATCACTACCCCAATAGAATCCTATCAGACTGATTAACACTGATTGGAACAGAGTAGGGGTCCAAATGAATCATTTCTCACACCACAGCAGAGACAGCCAGGAAGGAGAGAGTACGTCGGGAGGGGAATCAGCAACATCGTCGAGCACTGCAGGAAGGTCACGAAGTCTGAGGACTGAGGAAAGGTCATGGGATTCTTAGCAAAAAAAAAAAAAAATGGTTAGTGACATGGAGAATGAGCACAAATACATACGACCAAAGGTCGCTCCCCAGGGACTTTGATCAAAGGCTCTGCATAAACAGAGAAGAGCTGAAAACTATTAATGACCATATGAAAGATTGCTCTCAATCACTTATAAGACAAAACAACTGTGGAAGGTCTTACCTCACACCCAGAAAATTGGCAAAGATGAAAAAACGTGGGAATAGTCAACGTGGCGAGGAGGACAGGCACGTTACTACACTGTTAACGGAGAGGGGAACTGGTCTAGCCATTCTGGAAAGCAGCTTCAAATTACGCCACTAAAAAATTAGCTAAAATATTCAGACTCTTCCAGAGAGATCCCATCGCTGCTAGGCACATACCCCAGTGTTATCAAAGCCGAAGAAGCCACATGCACACCAAAATATGGAACTTTGTGAACAGGGAAGTCAAGCGGATGCCTTGTGGGTTGCCTTTGGCCTCAGCGTTTGGGGATGTTTGCACTAAAGGGAGTGCTCTGGTTCTGCCTGAGCCTTGGCATTTGACGCTGAACAGTCATCAGGAAAGAGTCCAAGAGGCTGGGTAGAGAGGACAAACATTCCAGGCATGGGGACAGCCAGTGCAAAGACACAGAACGGATAAATAGGATGTCTGGGGTGAGAAAGGACAGAGAAGGCCAGTTTGACTGGACTCCAGGGTATGAGAAAGCAAGTAATATGTGATGAAGCCGGAAAGGTAGGAAGGGGCCAAGACCACGAAGAGGTTGAAATGCCCAAAACAGGACTTTGTGTTTGATTCTGTAGGTAATAGGGAGCCACAAGAGTTAATTGAGTAGGGAAGTGACGTGGTCAGACGTGCACTTCAGGCAAATTACTTTAAAAGCTGCATGGAGGGGTAGCCAGATGGCACAGTGAATAGAGCTCCGGCCTTGGAATTAGGAGGACCTGAGTTCAAATCTGGCCTCAGACACTTGACATTTACTAGCTGTGTGACCCTGGGGAAGTCACTTAACCCCAATTGCCTCACCAAAAAGCAAAAAAAAAAAAAAAAAAAAAAAAGCAGTGGGAGCATGAGTTGGAGTAGAGTAGGGGTCATCGAAATAATTGAGCCAAGAGGTGGCGATGCCCTGAACTGAGATATTCGCTCAAGAAAGACTTCAGAGTTGCGATCAACATGATTACCCACCACAATTTCAAAATACACATGATAATAAGCTAGCATTCATATAGCTTCTTAAGGTTTGCAAAGCACTTTACACATATTATCGCATTTTATCCTTACAATAACCTTTGGAATGTATGTGCTGTTATTATCTCCATTTAACAACTGAGGAAACTGAGACTGGCAGAGATGAAATGATTTGCACAAGGTCCTACAGCTAGTATATGACTGTGACTGGATTTGAACTCAGATCTTCTTGACTCCAAATTCAGGACTGTATCCACTAGGTCACCTAGCTACCTTTAGGCATGATGAAGCATGCTACCCACCTCCTGATGGAGAGGTGATGGACTCAGGGGACAGAGAGAGGGAGAGAGGGAGAGAGACAGAGAGTGAGAGAGAGAGAGAGAGAGAGAGAGAGAGAGAGAGAGAGAGAGAGAGAGAGAGGAGAGGGGATCCCTGGGAGACTTGAGGGGAGAAAAGAAGGCTTGTAAAAGCCATTGTGATGAGAGGGACAGAGAAACAATTAGGGAGGAATAGAAGGATTTCCTTGCTGCAGGTAGGGCCTAGTTGAGGTTAAATACAGCTAGCCTCTGTGAGTATAAATCGTGAATCCCATGCAGTGGTCACATGATTTAAATCCATACTGCATAGTGCCATCGGACTGGAATCAATTACCATACTTCACAGGATTCTAACTTCAAACAGTGAGAACTTCAAGGGATTCCTCCTTTCTTATGTTATAGGCCTCTCCGTAACATAAATTCATGGTGGACCCAGTCCACAGGATAGTATGATTTCCTACAGCTCCGTTCTAAGTCAAAGTGGAGGAAGTAGCTTGCGGGAGTAACCTAGGAGTGTTGTTTGGCAAGAAGAAAATGTACCTGTCTCCCTTCACTCCCTGGGTGAGGAACGTCGGGTGCGGGAAAGCATAAGCACTAGTTTGGCACAGTCCACGTGCTGGCTAGCTTTGCCAAACTTTTTAACCCTTGTTCAAGAGATGGCTCACTGGGTGAGAGAGGAAACAGGAAAATTCAGAAAAGAAGGTCATGTCCCATCAACAACTATCAGTAGAAATGGACTATTTTAAAAAAAATAAAACAATGATAAGTTTTTAAAATAAAGCAATAAGAACAATTCTCAACTTTTCATAAAAGAACAAAATCTTTTTCTTAAATACTTGACGCTCTCGGGTCCCTCTTCTTCAGGCTGAAAGGCTTCCGACTGATCTTTATTTGTTATGAACTCAAGGCCCTCCATTGCCTGGTTATCCTCTTCTGGACCTTCTCCAGCTTACCAGTTTCCCTCTTATACTGACCTGAACACAACATTCCTGTTGAGGTTTAATGAGGATAGACTGCGGTGGGCCCACTGCCTTCCTATTCCTGGAAGCTGTCCTTCTCTTGACGCAGGAGTTGGGCTGAGACAGGGAGGAGAGATTTAGGATCACAACCTGAGGGAGTTGAGGGTCAAGTGAGTTATTTTTTTTTTAAAGAACTGAAGAGATCTAAGCATGTTTATAGGCAGCAAGGAAGGAGCCAGTAGATAAGGAAAGGTTGAAAATCAGGGCAAGACAAGAGGGGATGATTGAAGGGGCAGGTATTTGGAGAACACAAGGAGGGGGATGGATCCAAGGGCCTGGGTAAAGGGGTTGTGATTGGCAAGGAAAAGGGTCACCTCATCCTCTGAGACTGGATCAAAAAGATGGGTTGTAAATTCCACCTAAGCTAATCTACTTATTCAGTGCCACACCAATTAAACTACCAAAAAATTATTTTATAGAGTTAGAAAAATAATAGCAAGACTCATTTGGAAGAACAAAAGGTCCAGAATATCAAGGGAACTAATGAAAAGAATTACAGGGGAAGGTGGCCTAGCCATTCCAGATCTTAAATTGTATTATAAAGCAGCAATCATCAGAACTGCTTGGGACTGGCTAAGAAATAGAGTGGTGGGTCAGTGGAATAGGTTAAGTATGCAAAACACAGTAGGCAATGACTCTAGTAATCTACTATTTGATAAACCCAAAGACCCCAGCTTCTGGGATAAGAACTCACTCTTTGACAAAAACTGCTGGGAAAACTGGAAAAGAGTATGGCAGGAACCAGGCATAGATCAAAGTCTCACCATATACCAAAATAAAGTCAAAATGGGCTCATGATTTAGATATAAAGGCTGATACTGTAAGCAAACTGGGAGAGCAAGGAATAGTTTACCTATCAGATTTATGGAGAACAGAAGAATTCATGACCAAACAGGAGTTAGAGAACATTACAAAAAGCAAAATGGATAACTTTGATTACATTAAATTGAAAAGTTTTTGCACAAACAAAGCCAATGCAACCAAGATTAGAAGAAAGGTAGAAAATAGCGAAAGAATTTTTACAACGAGTGTCTCTGATAAGGGCCTCATTTCTAAAATATATAGAGAATTAAGTCAAATTTATGAGAATACAAGTCATTCCCCAATTGATAAATGGTCAAAGGATAAGAACAGGCAGTTCTCAGATGAAGAAATTAAAGTCATCTATAGTCATATGAAAAAATATTCTAAATCACTATTGATTAGAGAAATGCAAATCAAAACAACTCTGAGGTACCACATCATACCTATCAGATTGGCCAACATGACAAAACAGGAAAATGATAAATGTTGGAGAAGATGGGGGAAAACTGCAACACTAATGCATTGTTTGTGGAGCTGTGAAAAGATCCAACCATTTTGGAGAGCAATTTGGAACTATGCCCAAAGGGCTATAAAAATGTGCATACTCTTTGATGTAGCAATAGCATTTCTAGGGCTATATCCCAGAGAGATCATACAAATGGGAAAAGGACTCACATGTACAAAAATATTTATAGCAGCTCTTTTTTATAGTGGCAAAGAATTGGAAATTGAGAAGATGTCCATCAATTGGAGAATGGCTGAACAAGTTGTATATGAATGTAATGGAATACTACTGTGCTATAAGAAATGAGGAACAGGCTGACTTCAGAAAAACCTGGAAAGACTTGTATGGTCTGATGCTGAGTGAAGTGAGCAGAACCAAGAGAACGTCGTACACAATAACAGCCACATTGTGTGATGACTAATATTGATAAACTTAACCCTTCTCAGCAATACAAGAATCTCAGACATCTCCAAAGGCCTCATGATGGAAAATGCTACCCACAAAGAAGAAAGAATTATGGAGTTTGAATGCAGATTGAAGCATACTATCTGCTATTTTTTTTCTTCTGTTGTGTTTTGTTTTGTCTTTCTGGTGGTTCCTCCTATTGGTTCTAATTCTTACCTACAACTCCACTAATGTGAAAATATGTTTAATAGGAATGTATATGTATAGCTTATATCAGATTACACACTGTCTTGGGGAGGGAGGTAGGGAGGGAGAGGGAGAAAAATTTAAAACTCAAAAACTTATGGAAGTGATTGTTGATAATTCAAAATAAATTAATTTAAAAAAAAGATGGGTTGTAGCCAATGTGACTTAAAATGTGGGATTGGGAAGGAAGGGATGCTTGTGACAGATACGTCTTCCATTTTTTCATAGAAGGAGGAAGCTAGTTCTTCTTTTGAGAGGGACAGGGTAGGGGCAGGTATAAGTGGCTTAAGAGAAGAGAAGGTTTCTAGCAGCCCCTGTGCAAAATACAATAAAGAATCGATTATGGGAGCATAAGAGGGTTGTCAAAGGCCTAGCTGAGACAGGATAACCTACGTTTATAGCGGACCACATCATGTGGTCATGTGGTCAATTAGAAGAAACTCATGTCCGCCAAATCATGCCCCACAGTGGTCATCCAGTCTCTGCTTGAAGACCTCCAAGGAGAGGAAGGACACCACTTCTTGAGGCAGACCATTCTACTTATGAACACTATCACCGTTAGGAAGTGCTCCTCAACATCAAGGCTAAAGTGCTCCTGCCTCGACCGTCGCAGAACAAGACACCTGAAGAGGTGTTCACCCACACCCCCACTCTGCTTGTCTCTAGGTTAAACAAGCCCAGGTCCTTCGATGAGTCTTCATGCCCCAGGGACTCAAGGACCTTCACCAAGCTGATGGCCATCCTCTGGACACTCCAATTTATCAACGTCCTTAAACTGTCCTCATAACTGAACACAATATTTCAGAAGATAAGGTCTGACAAAACCAGAGTACAAGGGAGACTAATAAGAATAATAATAGTTAGCAATTATATAGCACTTACTATGTGCCAGGTACTCTGCTAAGCACTTTATAAATATTATCTCATTTGACCCTATCACCTCCCTATTGTTGGAAGTCGTGTCCCTTAATGTGACTCAAGACTACACTAGCTTTTTTGCTGCCGCATATCACTGCTGACTCATATT